CAATGGACTTAAGTTAATGGCCTGTCATGTGGTTTGGTAACATTGGGACTGTGCCCTTCTCCTTATCAACCTTAGGGCTTCTCAGCCTCAGCAGCTAGCGACTGTCTAAGTGGAGAAATGCCTCTAGCTCCAGTGGGCTGGAAGCAGGAGGCAGAGCTGGACCCCAAGATTGAGGGGCTTTCACCCAGCCCCTAGAGCATGGCACTTTGAACTTGGACTTAAAGCCTCCAAATTGTAAGAATAAACTCCTGTTTGTTAAGGCCATTTCATTTGCGGTATATTTCTTGTCAGAGCGACACTAGGTAGCCAGAACAGTCTGTAAGTGCAAATACTGGAAATAACCTACATGTCCATCAACAGGAGACCTGTCCAATTATAGGGCATCTTACAAAGAGGCATTACACAGCCTTGAAAAACATCAATGTAGCTCTTTCTGTATTGATATGGAATGATCTCCAGGACATATAATTAAACAACAAAAAAAGTGCAAATATCACAACAGTGAGTAGAACATGCAACTGTTTGTGTAGAGCATCAGGGGAAGGAAATATATCATATATATACAAGCTCTGGTAGCGTAGTGCCTAAGGCATTTGACTGCTAACCAGAAGGCTGGTGGTTCAAACCCACCAGCCACTCCTCGGAAGGAAGATTGGGCAATCTACTTCTGTAGTGATACCACCTCGGATACCCAAGGAGGGGTCGCTATGAGTCAGATCCAACTTGACAGCAGTGAGTTTGTGTGTAGGGGTGTGTGTGTGTGTGTGTGTACGTATATATAAATATACACACACATATATGTATACATACATACATTCATTCATTCATGGTGACTGCAGATGCATAGAATAGCCCTGGCTGGAGAAATTGATAACTGGGTACCTCTGGAGAGGGCAACTCAGTGGGTGGAAGGGGGAAGGTGGAAGGGGAAGGAGAGTGACATTGTACTATGTACCCATTTGAATTCTGAAGGATATGAAGATCCTTCTAAAAAATGAAAAAAGGTACTGATGCCTGGGCCCCAGAGATCCTAATCTTATTAGTCCACAATGAGTTATAAACATTGCTATTTTTTTATTACCTTCTTAATCTGTTGCCATCAAACCAATGCCAACTCATAGCAACCCCGCAACCCCTATGACAGAGTAGAAATGCTCCCATAGGGTTTCGTAGCCTGTAATCTTTAAGAGAGCAGATCGCCAGGCCTTTTTTCCACAGAGTTGCTGGCTGGGTTTGAACCACCGATCTTTTGTTTGGCATCTAAGCAGTTAACCACTGTGCCACCATGGCTCTTTATTCATTCCTTTGGTGCGTAGTGCCTAAGGCATTTGACTGCTAACCAGAAGGTTGGCGGTTCAAACCCACCAGCCACTTTGCAGAAGGAAGGCTGGGATATCTACTTCCGTAAAGCTTTGTCACCTCAGAAATACAATAGGCATTGCTATGAGTCAAAATCAACTCAGTAGCAGTGAGGGTTTTTTTTTCCTTTTGGTTTGGTGATTCTAATATACAGCTGGGGCTGGAAACACTATTACAACTTGGAGCTGGCAACAGGTGAAAACAAATTGCCTGATCTGCGATTCAGCACTGATGGCTTGATCTATTAGCAATTTGTGTGTGTTCTTGAGTTGATGTCTCCTCGTTGGAATTTTCATTTGAAGAACAATCCTTGGAGATGACTGAGTGCTTCTTTCGGTTTCCCTTTTTGTTTTGTAAAGTAAACCTACTTGTTGGTGTCCCTTCTAGCTAAAGGCATCAAGTTCTAAAGCTTGAGAAAATTCAGAGGGGACACAGTGATGCTGACCAGAAAAGTTGGCCCCTTTTTTGGTATAGCAACTTTGTTGGGTTATGGGCAGGGAAGAGGCAAGCACCCTCCTTCTGGATAGGTTTGCCTGCTTCTCAGGTGCTCCTGGCTGGGTCAGGCCTAGGTTCAGAAGGCAAAACTGAAACCGAACCCAGTGCCATTGAGTAGAATAAGGTAAATATTAATATTGACTAGATATTAGATGATATTAAGAAATTACTTTTGGAGTTCCACTTCTGTTTAAAACGTAGAAAGCTATAAGAGAATGTCACTACTATTTTAATAATGAGAAAAGCTAGAAATCTACACAATCATAACTTTTCTTGGATTCATCAGAGAGATGAGAACATAAGGCATTAAAGACACATGAATTCCATACAGTGGTAAGCTCCTTTAGAGAGACAGGACACATGAACTGTCTCACCTTGGTCAGAGCATAGAAGAAAGAGGCAGCTGCCACACCAGTTGTTGTTGTTGTTTGCCATCGAGTCGGCCCCGACTCATAGTGACCCCTCCTCACTACGGAAGTAGGAATGCCCAACCTTCCTTCCGAGGAGTGGCTGGTGGGTTTGAACCGCCAGCCTTCTGGTTAGCAGTCAAGTGCCTTAGCCACTATGTTACCAGAGCTCCTGCCACACCAGTAGATAAGAAAAAATACCACATAACAGTTTAAAAAATGTTTGAAGTCCAAACATAGGCTCTCATGTTAGTTTAAAATCCTAGATACAAGTTAGTTAGGAGTCCCAGATACAAATGGATATACTCAGAAGTTCTTTTCCACTGGCCTTCACTGGGTGCTCAGAATAAAGCCTGGGGACATACAGGAGATAATCAGCTGCTGCTAGGGGGCAAGCATAAAGCCCCTCCCACGTCCCCAAACCCTTCTCAGGTAGGAAACAAAAGCTTTAAGCTCCTGGTAGAAGGGCTGCAAAGCCCACATCCCAAGGCCTGGGAAAGATCCATTGCTGCTGGTAGAGGGGTAGACATAAAAAGCCTATGCCCTGAGGGAAGGATGGAATCCCACACTAATATTAAGCAGAGGTCTGCTGCTACTGGGGAGGGTAAACAGCCCAGAGGGAGCCTTCTCCTCCGTCACAGACACAGGAACTGCTGAAAGCTAACAATGGACCTGGAACATTGAACAAACCTCCAGCATCCCCATCCCCACTGTTCAACCCAAAGTAACAGTAACTCAATGCTGGGGAATGTAAAGCCCATGGTACACTAAAGATTATAACAGAAACAATAAAACCCAGACCCAGCTCAACTCCTGACTAGATTAACTTAACCTCCCGCACTAATGACCTGACAGAAAACATGTGTCTATTATTGGGCATAACTATTATTTACATAAGTCTCTATATGTTTATACACATATTGTTCTGCATTCAATAAGAAAACATGATGAGACTCACAAAACAAGAAAAACAATCCATTGTCAAAAGACAAAGCAATCAACAGAATCAGTCAGAGATAATACTAGAACACTAACAGAAGGCACTTGACTGCTAATCAGAAGGCTGGCAGTTCAAACTCACCAATCACTCCTCGGAAGGAAGATGGGGCAATCTACTTCTGTAGTGATTCCGCCTCGGCAACCCAAGGAAGGGTTGCTATGAGTCAGGTGGAGCTCTGGTAGCATGGTGACTGAGGAACTTGACTGCTAACCAGAAGGCCGGTGGTTCATACCCACCAGCCACTCCTCTGAAGGAAGGTTGGGCAATCTACTTCTATAGTGATAGTGCCTTGGCAACCCAAGGAGTGGTCACTATGAGTCGGGGCCAACTCGGCAGCACATAACAACAACAAAATATGATAAATGATATAATGGAAAAGATAGCATACATAATCAGATGGGTAATTAGAGAGATGGAAAGTAAAAAAGAGTCAAAGGAAAATGTTATAAATAAAAAATGAAAAATCAGAGATTTTGAAAAGAACTCTTTCAAAAGGCTTATCAGCAGAATAGACACAGTTATGGAAAAATTAGTGAAGTGAAAGATATGTCAATAGAGAATATCTAAACTGAAATGCAAAAGGAAAAAACAATGAAAGAAAATATAACAGAGCATGTAAGAATTGGGGAACAACAACGATGATCATAAATTGTCTAATATATGGGTAACTGGAGTCCTAGACACAGAGAGAGAGAAAATAGAGAAAGAGCAATATTTGAAAAAATATGGCTGCGAATTTTCTAAAATAAATGAAAAATAACAAATGACAAATTCAAGAAGCCCAGAGAATCCCAAGGTTTTTTTGGTTTGAAAAATATACAGACCTAAACACATTATAATTAACCTGCTAAAAAAATAAAAATTAGAAAAATCTTAAAAGGTCTTCCAAACCTCTAAATCAAACCCTTTGCCATTGAGTCAATTCTAACTCACAGCAACCCTATAGGACAGAATAGAACTGCCTCATAGGATTTCTAAAGCTATAAATCTTTATGGAAACAGACTTCCATATCCTTCTTCTGCAGATCAGCTGGTAAGTTCAAACCACCAAACTTTTGGTTAGCAGCCAAGCATGTCAACCACTGTGCCACCAGGGATTCTTAAAGAGTCAGTCAGAGGGAGAAAATTAAAAACAGAGGAACAAAGATAAGAACTACGGCAGACTTCTCAGAAACTATGCAAGCCAGAAGGTAATGGAATGATTATCTTTGAAGTACTGTGAAAGAAGAAATTACTTTTAATATTTCACATGTGATAATGGCACTGTGGTTATATATTTTTTACCTAAAGAACTCTCATCATTTAAAGTTTCATACTGAAATATTCAGGGTTAAAATGATAAACAAAAGAAAATTGCTTCAAAATAAGCAAGGAGGAAGTTATGGTGGAGATAAAATAAGATTCACCATGAGCTGATGATGGTTGAAACTGGCTGATGAGTTCATGCAGATTCAATATGAAAGTCTCTCCACTCATTAAATTTTGAAAATTTCCAGAATTAAATAAACAGATAAGGGAAATTGGCGGGGGAGGGGGGGCGGGGAGGAGAGAGAAATGGACAAAAGTGATAAGTGAATCTTAGCACACATCCCTATAGGTTTCTCAGATTTTTTTTGCCTCTAACTAACTCTCCTCTTGGCTTTTGATTCACAGAATGTCCATAGATCTCCAAACTGGGGTCACAGAGGGCTGACTGGTCCCACCACACTCCCTAGTCACATCAACCCAAGAAAGCCTACCAGTGCCAAAGCTCTCTTCTCCACACAGAGAGCACCGTCCTGAGTCCATCAGATTTGAGAAGAATCTCCATCCAGCTGGGGTCTCATATACTGGAACCTTCATTGATTTGGCCACTCTGAAAAATAAAATTTGAGGCAACAGTCAATTCATACTCCTCTCTTACTTTCTGTCCTCAGCAAAGAGGAGGTATATAGAATCTGTTAATTCCATAATTAGATTTCAGGACATCCTAAACAGTACTGACAATTTTCAGGATGTCAAGCCCTAAGGTAAAGAACGTTTAACAGGCCATCCCAATGGCTCTCAATGTTTTCTTTTCCCATAACACAAAAATTATTAAGTTAATTAACCTGCTAAAAAAAACAAAAATTAGAAAAATCTTAAAAGGTCATCCAAACCCCAAACCAAACTCATTGCCATTGAGTCAACTGCCATTGAGAACACAATATTCTCACAATTTATGCTTCCCTCCTATATATTTTTCGTTCTTTTTTGGGGTAATATTCCACTTGGAGATCTTGGAGTCTAAATTAAGATGATATGTAGGTGCAACCACTTTGGAATATTATCCAACAGTATCTATTAAGATACACTTGTTTTTGTTAGGTGATGTCGAGTCATCTCTGACTCATAGCAACCTTATGTACAACAGAAAGAAACACTGACCGGCCCTGTGCCAGCCTGGAAATCCTTGCTATACTTGAGCCCACTGTTACAGCCACTGTGTCAATCCATCTCATTGAGGGCCTTCCTGTTTTCCATTGACCCTCAACTTTAAAAAGCATGGTATCCTTCTCCAACGAATGGTCGCTTCTGACAACATGACCAAAATAGATGAGACGAAGTCTGGCCATTCTGGCTTTCAAGGAGTATTCCAGCTGCACTTCTTCCAGGAAAGATTTGTTAGTCCTTTTGGCAGCCCATGGTACCTTCAGTATTCTTCACCAACACCACAACTCAAAAGCATTAACTCTTCTTTGGTCTTCCTTGTTCATTGTCCAGCTCTCATATGTATTGATTGAAAATACCATGGCTTGGGTTAGGCACACCTTAGTCTTCAAGGAGACATCTTTTCTCTTTAGCACTTTCAAGAGGTCTATTGCAGCAGATTTTCCCAATGCAATATGTCATCTGATGTCTTGACTGCCACTTCCACTGGTGTTGACTGTACAACTGAGTAATGTGAAGTCTTTCACAACTTCAATCTTTTCTCCATTTAAGTGATACTGCTTATTGGTCCAGTTGTGAGGATTTTTGTTTTCTTTATATTGAGGTGCAATCCATACTGCAGACTGCAGTCTTCAATCTTCATCAGTAAGTGCTTCAAGTCATCCTCACTTTCAGCAAGCAAAGTTGTGTTGTCTGTATATTGCAGGTTGTTAATGATTCTTCCTCCTATCCTGATGCCACATTCTTCTTCATATAGTCCAGCTTCTTGGATTATTTGCTCAGCATACAGGTTGAATAAGTATGGTGAAAGGATACAACCCCGATGCACTCCCTTCCTGATTTTTAACCATGCAGTATCCCCTTGTTCTGTTCAAATGACAGCCTCCTGGTCTATGTACAGGTTCCTCATGAGTACAAGTAAGTGTTCTGAAATTGCCATTCCTGTCAATGTTACCTACAATTTGTTATGATCCACACAATCGGATGTTTTTGCATAGTCAATAAAATACAAGTAAACATCTTTCTGGTATTCTTTGCTTTCAGCCAAGATCCATCAGACATCAGCAATGATATCTCTCATTCTATGTCCCCTTCTGAATCCAGCTTGCATTTCTGGAAGTTCTCTGTCAATATACTGCTGCAACCATTTCTGAATTATCTTTAGTAAGATTTGACTTGTGTGTGTTATTAATGATA